TTTTATAGCAAGGAGGGGAGTGATTAACTTTTCAGTCTAGGAGCGGAGGTCCCTAGGACCATCAAGGGAGAAGAGCAGAGAGCGGGATCCTACCCAGAGAAGCAGTGATGCCTAAAATAGAGGCAGAGATGATGATGTAGAGCGATGGAGCAGCTGGAGACTTTAGATCCAGAGAGGAAGAACGACTGTGTGCTGAAGACCTGGGGGGTACAGGGGAAGGATTGCATGGAGGGGATTGTAACCATGGCAACGAGACTATATGATAGAATGAATGTAAAACTAATGTTCCCCCATGTAAATTATCACATAATTCACAATAAAACATTTAAGGGAAGAAAAAAAAAGATCCCACCCAGAAAATAAATAAATAAACAAAATGTGCAAAGACCTGGAATCAGAAAACCAAAAGGAAGAACACACTCAGCATTCCTCAAGCTGAAAAATTTGAGGAAAAATTTTAAGTCTTAATTTGCCATAATGAGGGGATAATATGGTCCTGGCATGGTGTTGTTAAATAAAGCACTTGACCTCAAGGTTGGTTTGAATCACAAAGTCAGTGGCTCAAACCCACCAGTCATTCCTTGGAAACTCGATACAGGGTCACTATGAGTCAAAACCAACTCAACAGCACTTAACAACAACAACAACAACATGGTCCTGGTATAGCACTAAAGGAAAAGCACTGGATTGCTAACCATAAGGTTGGTGGTTCAAACCCACCTTGGAAATCCTATACAGGATCGTTATGAGTTGGAACTGACTCGACAGCATTTAACAACAATGGGCATACAGGGAATACTGGTGTAGCCCTGTAGGATAAGCACTGACTGGGCTGCTAACCTCAAGGTTGGCAGTTTAAACCCACCAGGCTACTCCTTAGAAACCCTAAGTAGGGCCATGAGTTGGAACCAACTCTAGGGTGCTTAACAACAACAACATGGGCAAATAAGGCTCTGAAGGTGTCTGGGGGTCTTATGTCAATTTCACTTACCAAGGCTAGCCTCAGACAAGAGCAGGTAAGCAGGCACAAGCTCTACTGAACTCAGGCCATGCATGTTCATACGGAAACGAAGAGAATGCAGTGCGGCTGGCACAGCTTCTTCGTGTTTTCCTTCAAAGATATATTTCTGGGCTACCGTGTAGCAGAATTCAATCAAATGCTTCTGTGGAAGAAAACAAAATCAGCCAGATGAGACAGTCTAAAGGAAAAGTTGAAGGTATACCTGCTGATGAGACCAAAACTTAAGGAACTGGTTGCAAGCACATAGTTGTTGTTAAGTGCCATCGAGTCGGTTCCAACCCATAGCGATCCTGTACAGGGTTTCCGAGGGTGTAAATCTTTACGGGAGTAGAAAGCCTCATTTTTCTCTGGCAGAACGGCTGGTAGTTTCAAACTGCTGACCTTGCGGCTCGCAGCCCGATTCGTAACCACTACGCTACCAGAGCTCACTAAATATTCAGGGGACCATGTGACCCAAAACAGGTGATATAAAAATGCAAAATCTGGACTGTTCCACAAGGCCAAGGAAAATGTGTATTTTCATCAGAAAAAAACAAAACAAAACAAAATAAACTAAAAACCATTGCTGTTGAGTTGATTCTGACTCATGGCAACCCTGTAGGACAGGGCAGGACTGCCCATAGGGTGTCCACTGCTGTCACTGGGGCTGTCATCTTTACAGAAGCACACTGCCACATCTCTCTCCCCAAGAGAAGCTGACCTTTCAGTTAGCAGCCAAGTTCTTCATCACTGCACCACCAAGACCCCATAAAATGAATAAATATTATCCTTAGATTCCTCATAAAACTTTAGCAAAGTGCCAACATCTCAGGACTCTCTAAAACTTTTGGCCGATTTGAGCCAATTTTGGGAGAAACTTCCTATTTTTCCTTCTGGAATTATACTGTTGACCTAATATCAGAAGTGACTTTAACTCTATTCTAAGACCACTTTAATATTCTAAGGCCACGATCAACAGTACAGGTGCTTAGAGACTTACGATTTAAAAAGGGTGAACTGTTTTTAGAATAATTGAACTGCTGTTAGTGCCATAGCGATTGGGGCTATTTTTACACATCTCCTTTGTTTATTCATGCTACCTTTACACATCATTTTTTAATCTTCTACTTGTACTATGTGAGTCCTGGTGTGGCGCTATAAGATAAGCCCTGGACCCTATACAGGGTTGTTATGAGTCGGAATCAAATCAATGGCACTAACAACGACAACTTGTATTATGTAGCCAAGCTTGAATCGCAGTACTTAGCAGCTGCAAGTATTTGGTAAATATGTGGAGAGCATACAACAAATGGTACTGAAGAAATAAAGACATAAATGAAAGTCTCTCCCCTCCTGGAATACAGTATATACACAGTACATAAACATACACAATTTAGTCATTTCCACACAGTGCAACCCTTGTGCTGGGCTGTTTCACTGCACCCAAGAGTTAAGCGTGTAGTACGTACCTGCCGCTTCTGCAACTGTTGCAGGCCATGCTGCCGTTCTTCCTCTGAATTGTAGAAGGGCATGGTAGTGCGCAGTGGAATGAGGAGTTGACATATCTTCTCATGGATGCTGCCCCAGTCAGCTCTTTGATGCACCACACCACTGGCAATAAAGACATGGATTTCAGTATCTTTAACTCTGGTCTAAGATCCTCCTGGCCTACTACTAGCTTAGCACTAGACACCAGAAAAATAAGCCCAATGTGAACTAGGCAAGAGGCCAAAGCCATCTCTGAGATCCAAATCTCTTCTTTTATATGATGATTTGAAGATGTAGAAAATGTGTTGGAGTTGGGAAGAGGTCGAGGAAGGATACTGTTTCTGAAGGCATACATCCAAGTTCCAAACACACACAGGGATGCGATGGCTATTCTATTTAGTTAATAACAACAAAAACAACTTTCACTCTGCATTGTTTAGGTCATTTTCAAAACGTGTGAACACCGAAGCTGATAAATCTGAGGATTTTTTGTTGTTGTTGTTGTGGAAGAGAAAGGACTTTAGAGTTAATGAGCAAATCCAAGACACATTACAAACATGTTTTGCTGTAATGGGGCCCACCGTACTGCCCAGCTTGGCTCAAAAGCATCACTCACATTGTACAATTTACACAGCATACACTGTGAACTACCCACCTGGCCCCAGCCCCATCTCTACCCTCAACGGTGCAGCAGGTGGCCTTGTATGTAACTGTTTTGACTGTTTGAAAACAAAACAAAATCTGTTATTACCATTTTTAAGAAAACACAAATGTGAAGAGATTAATCTACTTTTCATCTTATGGACATTTCTATAAATGGCATAATAGAATGTGTATCTTTTTGTATCTGATGTCTTGTACTTAGCCGATGTTTTCAAAGTTCATCCACTTTGTATCTGTATCAACACTGTATTCCTTTTTAGGTCTCAACCTGTACATCAATGCCCATATTTGTAAGGCCTTCAGAGGAAGGCGCTGTAACAGTTCCACAGCACACCTCATTTTATTGTGTCTATTATAAATTGCAGGTTTGTGGCAACCCTGTGTCGGCAGTTCTATCCATGCCATCTTTCCAATAGCATAGGCTCACTTTGTGTCTCTATGTTGCATTTCAGGAATTCTTACGAAATGTCAAACTTTTTCATAAAGTATACTTACTAAACTGCAGTATAGTGTAAACGTAACTTTTATATGCATTGGGAAACCAAAAAAAAAAAAAAGTCATGTGATTCACTTTATTGGGATATTTGCTTTTTGGTTGTGGTTTGGAACCTAACCTTCAGATGAATGCATGTAGTTTTATATTTTATGTGCTTTTTGTAAACTCATTTCTGACCCTTCACTAGTCCTGTTTTTTGAGTCTTTGCTTTTTTTTTTTTAAAAAAGAATTAATTCATATTCCAAATGTTCATTATAAAGTGTACACTGCAATTTTTGTAGTATATTCACAAGTTTGTATAGCCATAACTCTACCTAATTACAGAACATTTTCATCACTCTAAAAACAAAATCTATACCCATTAGCCATCACTTTCAATTTCCCCTCTTCCCATCAATCTTGCCCTGGCAACCACTAATCTACTTTTCATCGTACAGACATTTCTATAAATGAGATAATAGAATGTATATCTTTTTGTATCTGATGTCTTATAATTAGCATGTTTTCAAAGTTCATCCACTTTTTATCTGTATCAACATTGTATTCCTTTTTTGTGTCTGAATAATAGCCCACTGTAAGGAGCCCTGGTGGTTCTGTGGGGTAGCCA